AACATCAAGTAAATACCATCGAGCAAGCACCGTATTCACCTGATATGGCCCCGTGCGACTTTTTTTTGTTCCCCAAGTTGAAGTTGCCACTTCGTGGAAAGAGATTTCAGTCGATCGAGGAGATCAAAGAGAATGCGACGAGGGAACTAAAGGCCATCCCTTCGTCGGCCTACCAGGGATGCATGGAGGACTGGGTCAAGCGTTGGCACATGTGTGTTGCTTCAGATGGATCATATTTTGAAGGAGATAAAATAAATTTGCCTGAAATTTAACTCTATTTTGTTTTATTTAAAAATTCCCGGTACTTTCTGATCATAGGGTATATAATTTGCGTATTTAACATGTATTGAATACATATTGTTATATGTAGCAAATATGTATTTGATACGTAATGTAAATTACGTATCTAAGCGCGGACATTCATCGGTATTAAACATGTATCTGCTACACGATTCATACGTATTTCTACATATCTGCTATATAGCAATATTTCAAATTTTACGTATCTGCTATGTATATGAAATATAAAATGCTGTGCGGGTTGTTACCAAGGCATAGTGACTATTACCAACTATCATTAAATAATGTGGTAAATAAAACCATATTTAGTAATATTTACCACTATTATATGATTATTATTACCTTAACCGCTTGATTATAATTACGCAAAGCATGGTAATAATTACCAAAATTGTCATATTTAAAATATTTGCAAATATCGTAATAATACTTCATTCCAACTATGATGATAGAATGAGGAGGATCTATTAGGGTGGTGGCGGGATGCCGGCGGTCGGGACCTGCGTCTTCTTTTCGTTCCGGCGAGAGGAAAATGTCGAAAGCGCGGTTTAGGCCGGGAATCGACCCTGGATTTTTCAGTTGCCGGCGACTGTTTTAACCACTGATGCTTTATGCTCACGACACTTTCCTCTCCCAAGATAACATTCAGAGATGCAGTTCAAGTTGGACAAATTAAATCATAATTACCAAATTATGTTATGGTAATTATTACCTTATTTGGTAACTATTACTAATACTATTTACTAAATCATTTAATTGATTTGATTATACCAAAAATTTATGTTACTAACTATTTTGTAATTATTACCACATATTTTGTAACATTTACCATATTGGTTACTAATTACCATGGAACGCATAGTTAAATGAATTTGGTAAGTATTACCAGACTTTTTTTCAGTGTACAGATATTGAGATATTTTTATAATATCCTTGTGATGTATTTGAGACATTTCTGCTGTGTAGGCAGTGGCATTCTCATGGAATATTCTGTTATATTTCAATACTATTTAGGGGGGATAATAATAACCGTTTAAATAAAAAAATAGTAAATATAATGTATTACTTATAATCAATTTTATAAATGGAGAGAGAAAGAGAGAAAAGAGAAAGAGGAGAGGGAGGGAAGAAGGTAGGGGGAGGGGGGAGAGAGAGAAATGGTAAAGAAAATTAATAGGATGCTATTAATACTGCAAATATTTTAAAATGCTGCGTACAATAACCCGAATTGAATCTAATGATTGTCTAATGACACAGAAAAGTTGGGTCTTACATCGCTACTAACTAGGAATGTAACGCTTACTTCTCCTAGTGGCTGTATCAGAAAAATTATCTAGTAGCTAGATACAAAACAATAACTTGTAACTATAATTGGTATAAGTACTAGACAGTTCTGATATCCAATTTCTATTCAGGATTTACCGATTATTTTCTATCTCGTTATTGCGTAATCTTTTTCATCTAGCCACTATCTATGTAATTGGTATAATTACTAGATAGTCCTGACATTCAAAAGATTGAGTAGGAATATTTAGCCAGTCACGAGCTAGTGACTGGCTAGAAAAATTATCTAGTTATTATTATCTGCCCTACTAGTCTTGAAATCTGCTATACTAGATACACTTTTGCTAGGGAATATTAGCCTTTCTTTAACCGTTTTTGTTAGATTAAATTAGACATGAATTAGACTGAATTGTTAGACATGACATGTATTTTCCGCGTTACCAATCATGCGTTTGTAGGAGAGACTGGGGCTCGCTAATTTTTTTGGAATTTCAGTGATAAAACAGTTAGAAACATTTAATTGTCCCAATTAACTATGTAACAATGATAGAGGCTACTACTAGCTAATTTTTCTGGTACACTACTAGGAGAAGTGAGTGTTACATTCCTAGCTAGTATTTAGCTAATATTACTAGGTAGTAGCGATGTAAGACCCAACTTTTCTGTGTCATTACTAGACAATCACTACATTCAATTTTTATTCGAGTATGCGATACGTATCAGTAGAGGAAAAATATAAATTTTAAACAAGTAGTTAATAAAAGATTATACAATTAGTTTTGTAAAGGTAAATAATTGCAATTAGTTATGATCAGAATTAGTTTTGATTCATAATTAAATTTGTGTGCGTCAATAAGCGCTATCCGCTTACATGTAACTTCATATGGAGACAATTTGACTACGGATTGAAATCAATTTATATAACTAATTATAATTATTTACAAAGATAATTGTATACTCTCTTACTTACCACTCTCTTAAAATGTTTACTCTTCCTATACTGGTTACGTAACACATTGAAGCAGTTTACTCCTTTTTATAGATGTCTATATGAAATGTCAAGTTGTTAAAATATCACATTGACTGTGGACATATTCTCGCTTGCTAGATTAATCGAAAATCATAAGATAAGGTAAATGTCCCAGTTAGTGACCAAGTAAGCTCATCGTGAAAATAAAATGATAAATTAATAATATAAGTGCTAAACTAAATACATAAAATAGATTTTGTTGAAAAACTTAAACATTTGGGATTTTAATCATGTTATATTGTGCTTATTTGCGGTTTTAATTTATTTAATTAATTATTAATTAATTTATTAATTTTTTTAATTTATACTATTTAAGATTTTAATTTATCTATAATATTTTCTCAAAAATGGTTAAAGTATTATTTAGTGACCAGCCAGTTTGATTTTATCCCAATTTATGACCTATGTATGTTCCTATTACTAATTGACTACAC